TGCTGCAACTTTGGCCAACAGACGTTTCATAGAGAAAAAATTGGACTAATTTGTAATTAAAATAATATAAAATAACGTAAACAATCTTCGTCACTATGTAAAAGCGTAGAAATCCAAAAACAATGGAATTGACTTTGATTGTCTACGTAATTGATGTTATTAATGGCCTTGTTCGATTGGATTAATTAATTTCCTTCTAGGTTATTTCTTTCACCGCTCGTAAAGTATTTTCCGAATTGCGCCGAGAATTGTTTACTTCACTCGGGTGTGTTATTTACTTTCAACCATATGAAAGTAATGGCATGTCTATATTATTCTGATAAATTTATAAATAATTATTTCTGGAAAACCGATTATTATTCATCAATAACCATCAATCATCATCATCAATATACATCAATGACCATCGGTTTTTTGGGGATTTTTTTTTTAATCTCAAAAGTTTCTAAATAAAAAACTAGTGCTTTAAAAAGAGAAAAAACAGTGTTGTTAAATAAGAAACCTACCACGGTTTCTTATCTACACTGTTCTTTTTTAATTAAAGTCACTAATATATATATAGTAATCACTTACATAACATAATTATTACATACAGATTAAGTACCTAATTTATTATAATTCAAACAGTTTGAAAGCTATTCACGATTGTCTCATTCAAAGTCAAAGGCCGATTCAAACGTAACATCCGTAGAGAAGGCTGTACATTTTAATTAACGTAGAAATGTTATGGTTCAAACGAAATTGTTTCATCTTAAATGTTTGAATTGAATATTTGAACAGAATACATAACGGAATTTAATATGGTAAAGGAAATTGTTTGTATATTTTTTACATTTTCCTGTAAATTATTTAAATTTACATTAAGACCTTAGTGTAATAACAGATATTTGACAAAGATTACCTTGATAATGATATCACGATTTAATTTTGTTGTTTTTGTTTATAGTTATTTAAATTAATCAATGGGTTTTATATAAGCAAAGTTTTATGAAGTCACTCGTTTATAAATAATTGTTTTTGAGAATGGATATTATATTCTTAAGATATTTCATTGTTAAACGTTTTTTTTTTTCATTCCGCTTCGTGCTCTCTCTAAGACGGAAGGCCCATGTCCCCCAAATTAGAGCCCCTTCGTTTACATAACCAATTTTTGTAATTGCTACTATCAATGCGCTATTCAGCAACCCAAACTCGACGACGACAGTCTTTTAGACTTTACTGGACTTGTAAGGGACGAAGACAAATTTTTGGAAGAAAACGCTATAGAAGAAAGAAGAAAACCTTGAACGACTTCTAAGTGGTTTTAATGTTAGTTCAGTGTTGGTTTTAGTTTTAGCACACGTGTTCGTAGGCAGGTTTCTGTCAGTTTCCTTCGGCCTCAGTGGCAATTTAAACCTCACCTTTCGCGTTTTTGTGTTGGTTCACGGATATTCATGTATAGCACCCACGAAAATGAGTCACTCAATGCCATATTTGCCAACTGTTTAGATAATTAATTGTGGTAGGGCTAGAATAGCTTTGGTGGTTGCATGAATGGGCAGGTCCATCTGGGTAAATACCACGAACTCACAGAAGACCGGCGTGAAGTGGATGTGTCATACTTTCTGCGTTTCGCCTCGTGAGTGACGTAGCCGGGGCCCACTCTATTAAAAGGTGGCAACGCATCTGCAACCCTACGGGTGTTGCAAGTGTATATGGATAGCGGATATCATTTAACATCAGGTGAACCACCAGCTCACTTGCCATCTCTTCACATAAAAATAGTACAAAACGCGAAACTGCTTCGCACGCCGTGTCGTATGTACGGCAATCGCCTGGAGACACCTTAATTTATTACAAATGCTTCTTGCACTGGACTCGATCAGGTCCAGTTTGCACAGTGCAAACTGGACCTGAACGCTGACGTCGCGAATGACGTCATTCCCAAATGATGTCCTAATCTTGTGATGTGAATGACCTAATCTTAAAATCGTATCATGGCAAAAATCCCTTTGATGTTATGATCGCGAAACAGAACTTCATGAAACTGTGCGATGTCCTCATATCCGATAGGGCGGAATGGCAGGAAAATACTAGCTTACTGACAGCTCTAAAAGGGCCTTTGCATGTAAAGGTAGGACTACAGCAATTAACGAGTTGGGACTGTTCGCCACTGCGTTTCAGGCCAAAATGTATGCAATTAATGACTGTGCTTCTGAGCAGGAATGCTCTTGTTTATTCTTCGGGCTTTTTTGTGTTAGTATTTAATGTATAATTAAAGCTTAAACAAAAACGCCAGAAGTAAAATAACCACATTTGTATAAAATATATTTTTATTTTCAACATTTTATCACTTACATTGATTTTCCAGTTTCTTATGCAATATTTTAACATTAATGTAATGGAATGGAACATAACTTAAATTACAAAATTTTTGCGCCAATTATTTTAATTTATGTATTTAAATAGCGTGGTTCAACAATAGAGTAACGTAGCAACTTATCTTACCTTTAAATAAAATAATTTTGCTATTATTAGTATTTGTATATTAAAATAATTCGAGTGATGTAAAACGTGTGATTCTTTAACAGGTAGTTAGTGATTTTAAGTTTGGTAATATGGTTATAGATTCGTATAATTATGAAAAATAATTAAACCTAAATTAGTGCGTTTATTGAACTAAGTAAAACTAAGTATTCTAAACAACTAATGCTAACTTAAAACTAAAATAGACGCAAAGATTGCAGAAAATATATCAGTATAAACCAAGATACCAAAAGACGCATTAAAAATTAACTTACAGGTTTGAAAATTGTATCTTTAAGAGCGATCTGCAATAACTGTTCTTATCTTCTAGTACATATTTACAAATTTATTTTTGAATGATTTATAACTGGAAATATGACTTTTACTTCACAATTTAATTTAGGGCCATGTTAGTTCTCCAACTAAAAATAAATTATGGTAGGTAGAGCCACCCAGCAAATTTTGCCATTACACGACTGGGTAGGTTCACTCGGGGTAATACCACGGAATGAAATCGGGGAAATATTATACTTTTGTGTTTCGTCTGGTGAGGGAGTACTTTACCTTTGCCCACTTTTTTAAAGGTTAGTTCCGTAATTCCAACTACTCAGTCGTTTGAAAGTCACAGGTCATAAGGAATAATTTAACGGTGGTAGGGCCACGCAGCAGCCTCGGCTGTAGCACGAATGGGCAGGCTCGTCCGGGTAAGTACCACGACCTCATAGAAGACCAGCGTAAAGTGGAAGTATAATACTTTCGCGTTTCGTCGGGAGAGTGTGGTGGCCGGAGCCCGATTTCCAAAAGGTTTTCAACACATCTGGAACCCGCGAGTGTAGCAGATGTCGTTGGGCGGCGGTATTCACTTATTTATCTACGGTATAAAAAAGGAAATAGGCATTTTACATAAGGTGATCGTTCCATTGCTTGCCAACTTCACATAAAAAGAGAAAGAACTAATGTGATTTACATTTTAAATGAAAGAAATATTAAATGATCTCGATATACCATGAACCCGTTCGTGGTATATGTCACTGATTTCGTTCAATATTTTCGTCAACGATGGTAATAGTATAATTGTTTCATTAAGTTTCTTAAACTAATTCCGCTGGCTCGGCGACCCAAAGTGGGTCTAGGCCTCCGATACGAGTTGCGCCAACGCGCCCTATCTTGTGAGTTCTCCTCCCAGTTTTCTGCCTTCAGGGCGTGAAAGTCCTTCGCCACTTCATCCTACCAGCGGTGTCTGTCATCTCCAGGTCGTCCATCATATGCTCTCTTCACCGCCCTGTCTGCCGGCATCCGTTCCAGGTGCCCAAGCCAGCGGAGTCCCACGGATTTAATCTCGCCCATAATGTTGGGACAGACCATTAAGTTTCTTATTAAGTGTTAATTCAAGACTTTGTTTAGTAATCAAATGGTAGTACACGCGCATAAAAAAAGTATATTTTGATGAAATGCTTTCTTCATCTAATCATTTGGGCGCAAATGATAAAAATTTTGTATAAGTTTTTATTTTTAGCACATAGCGTCTTCTACTTTTTATTTCTGAAGCTGCAGCAGTCTCTAACTAAACGTCTATAACTCAATCTGATAAAGCATTAATGTTTTGTAACAGGGTGAACCAGTTCAAGAACAAGGATTGGCTAACTGCTTAAATAGTCTACGTCTTTTTCCACATCAATCCATTATTTTACAGTAAATTTCTTTTCAATACATATGCTTCGCTTCTGCTTTTCTTATTTTAAATATGGTTTATGTCTTTCAGGCTCCAAACAACAATTTTTTAAACGATGTCATTAATTTCATCCCGCAGGATTTTTTTTAATACAAATTGTGCTCAGAGATCCTAAAGCCTATAGTAACTTTAATTACATAATTGTTACTTTTTTAATGTATGGCTACTATCACCTTGTTCTAACCTATGATCATTCATTCATTAAATCATTTTAAGCATTCATTACGTAACTGAACATTGGGTATATACAATAATTACAAAAAAAAAAGGTTTTTGAACGCCATTGTGAACCCCTCCTAGATTTTCTTTATGAATCCAAATGTTGATGTTACTCTTACAATATTTGTATCAAGGTACAACAATCAACATTCATAATCATTCAACACCACCATGTAGGATTTAAGTTGCAATAAATATTCCTTATATTAAATAGCTTTTGACTGTATTGTAAAAATGATGGTTTGTTGTTTTAAATTGAAGCGTTTATACTTAATTAAAATTTGTTTGTATAAAACCTAAATTTTAGTTTTAATTATATCTGAATATTTACAAGATAAGTTTCAAAGTGTTTTCGAGATAATACTGGCGTAATGGTTAATACAATAGTAGTAAACGGCTATATTGAAATTCAATAATGAACGAAGGAGGGCTCTGGCGCTCAGTAGGTCTGTCAATGAAGACTCCAGTCCAGTCCAAAATCTCTGGACGCCGAGCGAGAGCGCAGAGATGGCGGCGCGTGTGAAGCGCCGCGGGCCGCATGTCAGTAATCCAGAGATTCTTCATCCGGAGATCGTTTGCGGCAGCAAAGGCGCCACGCGGCTGCCACCGCACAAACAGCTAGAACAATCGCCAAACTAGCCCCCAAGGCAGGCGCCATCCAGTCACTTCCACCAGCACTCCTTGCTCCGGCACAAAGCTCTGGGGCTTCGTCGTGCAACTTTCCTAAAGGAACACCACTTAACGCATCCAGATAACCAAGTCTACGCAAACTGTCCTCTGAATACGATTCTCGAGCTCGCTTTTCTTCCGCCGTCCAGAATTTCCGCTCAGTGGTAGTTACGTTAGGACAGTTAACAACTCCATTACATATCAACCTTGCTGGAATACAAAGAGCGTCTTCTCCAGGACATATAAAATCACAACCCTGCCCAGAACTTGACTTAACTCCGCCGTCCGTCAATCGTGATGTCATCAAAGTACCATCTGAATTTTTAGGCAAGTGATATAAGCCGGTCCAAGCTATTTTAAAAGTGGCTCGTGCTGGGGAAGCACTTCCAATAAAGATAATTCTAATGGATCGAGTTTTTTCTTTTTCAATAACAAGTGGATCGTCTAAAGACTCAAACCCTAGTTCACCAGCTGACAGTATAGGTAATTCCCGGGCCAAAGAAACATTTTCTCCGCATATCGAGAGGTACGGCTCAATTCTTCCTGGCAGATATATCTGAATGTTACCATCATCACAGTGTCTGGATGCGAATTTAATGCTGTCAAAATGCAGCCAAATATCTCTTTTCTCTTCTATTTCAAGGTCCCAGATGCATTGAATCCTTTTAGGCGGTTCCGTGTAACCTAATGCCTCTAAATACGGATACACAATTTCACCGTCTAAAGCTGCTGCCAACACGGCTGGTCCACAAAGAGGCCCGTGAACGAATTCATAGCGAGCTTCGAAAAGAGGCGATGGGTTTTTGAAATATGATGCTGCTGCGTGAGCATTGTCAACTATCAGTTGTAAATTTAACGATTCCCCTGATGAAACTACACGATAGGGGCGTGCTCTCGAAACTGTGTTTGCATGTTTTGCACAGAGACAAGAACCAAGTGACCGTTGTACAGCTAAATGCAGTGGTAGAGGCGTAGTACTGATTCCTATTGATAAATTTGCAATTCTACCACCAGGGTTCGGTTCCCAAATGATGAGTTTGTCAGCACGATCTTCGTAACAATTCTGACAGGAGATTGCTGTATAAGGATGCTCCTGAAAAGAAGACATTGAAACATGAAAGAATAACTTGAATGTATTCTAAAGTTGTTTTAAAAGGTCGATCTCTCGTAACATTATTGACTACTAGTCTCATACATAAGTTTGGATATTGATGTATCCGTGAGTTAAATTTACTACTATCGAATAGAGCTCAATGTATTTTATATGTATATTATTTTTAAAGAAGTATGAATTTAAACATAACAATATCGAGAAGAGACAAACCTTAAAATTTACGGTAAGAATTGTTAATATGACCCTTGCAAATATTCTTTTGTCAGTTACAAATCGGTAAAGGCAATGAACGTCTTCTCCTGGAGGCGCTTGTTTGTATACGAGAGTATTGAGCGGTGACCTCAGACGTCCGATTCTTTGTTTCCATGACGCAATTACTTCATCGCAGGCAGTTCCTGGCACCGGCTCACCAAATCGGGTGTTATTGAAAAAGTCATAGTGAGCCCAGTAATATAGTGATGATCTGCAATATATTTTAAACTTAGTACATAGTTATCGCATTAATAACTTACAATGTATTGGCTTAGTTGCAACAAGACTTAGTGTTATAGTTAATCTTAACCAAATAGGATTGAATCCTATTTGGTTAAGATTAAATGAATACTCATTTATAAACATATTTTAAATTTTAGGTGATACGCGAGAAACTCCCAAAAGTTTTAGTAAAAAAATTACACAGGTACAGATTTCTAAGGTCGTCTTTAAAAAGATTGTAACAGCAGTTGCAATTTTACGACAATATGAGTAAAATTTATAATTACTAACAGAAAAATAAATAGCTACCAATAGTACCTACCCACTGTAACTTCCGGTTTTACTCTCAAACCTAACAAACATGGCATTTCCTGTTGAGACAAAGTCATGCTTTTCCATGGGTCTGCTGAATGTATCGCAAAAAGTCTTGATGATTCGGGCGTCATCGGGTCGAGGTGCATCATAAAGGTGTCAGTGATTCACCACAATCGCCATTCCAGGGAACAATCGGTGATTCTATACGGTTTATTCGAAAACTGTGGATAAAACGATTACTTTTAAATAAACATAATTTTTCTTATTTAGACGACTCTATGGAATTAAACGTATGCATAATTTTTTTTTTGCATCTATAGACTGACCAGACAGCAATGATAATTTTTCCAGTTGTAATATTTTAGCATCGGTCATTTACCAATGCCACCTGTCAAAACATTCACGCTTGCTGTTTAATCATGCATCATTTCACGCTTACCGAATGTATGGAAATTAATAAAAATATGTCATAGAAATTCCGGTGCAGTTTTAAGTACGCAACGTGAATTTAGTCGTGAATTTAGTGCGCAGGTAATTACGCTGTGAGTAAGTGAGTACACGCTTTTCCACTAACCAGATAGATATTGGTGCGAAGTGGACAATATCTTGCCATCTTAACGGCCAGTATCAAAAAAAAAGTTGTCGACTCTGCGACTCAGCTGATCAGCTCTCATCGCAAGAGAATGTTAGGCCTACATCCGTATAAGATTCTGTTCCCTAATTGAAACAGGACGACCATAGACACCGCCGTGAGTTCGCTAATTGGGTCTTGGAAATGTTTTTAGCCTAAAAGATATATTCTCGGACGAGGCCCATTTTTAGCTCAGTGGTTACGTCTGTAGGATTTCTTTTACGAAAAAAGGAAGCAAGCTTTCAAGCGTGTCACTTGACGGTAAGTAATTACAAGCGATATACATTTTCCAAGCTTATTTTGATAATAAATGATGATGAAAGGAAATGAAAATTAAATTGGTAACCCTTTTTCTATATATACTTTCTCTAATTATAACCAGAAATATATAACTTATATCATACTGAATATTTATTTTATAGATTAAAGAAATGGCCTGGAAATCATTTAAACATGACAATATATTATTTACAAAATACGTAGATGAAAACTGAGTTTGATATTAAAGTGTCGGTAAATTAATAACTAATGCTTTGCTAAATGCATAAACTGGAAATGATTACATGGTACCTTTACCCACCTTGGAAAGTACAATCTCACAACTTGTCCCGGGAACCCTTGCATTAGATAAGTGCACGATGTGTGCGGTGGATACCAGTGCGCGACTGATAAGAATATGCCCTCAGTGTCACCGGACTTCTTCAAAGATTCGGCAGTGAGGAGCCAGTCACATGTACCAACTCTTGAACCGGGGGCCTCGACGTGGCCGGGCCAGTTACCGACATTGAAATGAAATCCAGTATTGAGGAGCGGTCCTAAAAAGTGTTTGTTTAAAAACATTATAAATAAATAATAAAAAAATCGCTAATAACTTACAAAGGTTGAAGGAAAGTACAAGTTCAATAAACTCGTTTGATATTATTAAAACACAACATGAAATAATTTATGGTTTAAAACGATTTAACGTAAATAGATAAAAAAGTTGAGTTTGAAAAATTCGGTGAAAAACTCATAAAACATTACTTATGTTATAATGGTTACACACAAAAATTTACATATTTTATTTTATAATCAGAAAACCTTTAAAGCAAACACGAGCAGTCTATGTACAACACATTACAATATCAACAATCCTCTTTGGTATTAATAAGAAAGCAGCAAAGATTTTTATATCACAGTAAGAAGATGAAAGTGACATAAGTTACCTGCTGGTGAACTGACAAACTCGACGAACAAATCTTGGGAAGTTCCGATTATGGAGTAGGGGAACTTTCCCATACCGCAGAAAGTACCGATCACGGAAGCGGACTCATCTTTTCCATCATATATTCTTATGTAATCATATGGACAGTTCTCTGAACCTACGATATACAAAGTAGAAATAATTTTGTCTGATTTTTAATCATTTAATACGGCGGCAAATGACCAAGTTACTAAATTATATCCCGAAAACAAAATATGACATTTACACTTTGAATAAGAAAACAGTGTGCATTAAATTACAGCTAATTATTATTTGAATGTACTTAGCATAAATCGCATATATCGTATCGTATAATATATAATCATATAACGTTCATGTTAATAGAACCTTACTGGCGTTACAAGGGTGCGTAAACTTTTGACAGTTGCTGAGAATTTAATATCGACTGGAAGTTTCGAGCAAACTCGGAAAACTTACTGCGTATTTATTGGATGAGCGTTATTTACGATCGTAATAAATAACAAGCTAATCTTTGAGAAAAAGTAAACAGGGAGAGAAAGTGACGTTAAAAATAATATGTGTTAAATCCACTTTCGTAAAGCAAAGTGGAATATGAAAATTCGTATTCCGATCTGGCTTGAGGTCGTGAAAAAGTATACAAAAATTACATGGTAAGTAACATCCCGTAAGTCTAGTATCACTAACTGTAGTGATTATAGCTAATCATTGATGCTTCAAACGCATACCATAAAATGTATTATTATTTTTTTTTATGTGAAAAGTTGTCAAACGAGCAGACGGTTCACTTATGTTAAGTGAATACCGCCGCCCATGGACGTCTGCCGCACCCGAGGGTTACAGATGCGTTGGCAACCTTTTGAAAATTGGGCTCCGGCTACCTCACTCACCAGACGAAACGCAAAAGTATTTGTCATACTTCCACTTTACGCTGGTCTTCTGTAAGGTCGTGGTACTTACCCGGACGGGCCTGTCCATTCGTGCAACAGCCGAGGCTGCTGCGTGGCCCTACCACCGTAAAATAATAATAAATGCAATTGCTATGCTATGTTATAATAAATAATAACTGCAATTGCTATGTTTGTTCCCTTTTCACAATGCAACAGATAAATGGGTTTCGTTTAAGTTTTGATCTTGGTAATAGCTAATAATTATGTTGGACAGTGCAAAAATACTTTTGACAGTAAAATAATTAGATGTCTTGTTTACAAAAAGAATCACATGTAAATAACTATAAGCCAAAGAAAATGTATTCTTTAAAACAACACCAACGTTATTTGTTACTTTACATACGAAATCATTGAATAACTTTCATTTTATAAATGTGTAAAATTGTTATCAAAGTAGGTACTTTCTACCTCAATTAATTCTGTTACTTTAATTTCCGACTCTGAATGCTCTGCCGAGATGTTCTTACAGTGTGTTATTTTGAATGAATAAATGTTTATTTTAATAAATCCACATTGTATATATAAGTGATCTACAATTCAGTGAAATAAATCGTAAGAAAATATTTCGCATGGAAACCGCTATGGAAGTGTAAAATAACATTTATTTACATTTAGCTTTTAAAATAAAGCAAACCCACCTGATGTTATAGGTCTCATGGGACAAGTCATTATGTTCTCGCAGCGCTGCCCATCTATATTAAACTCTTCATTCTCTATGTACAGCTTTATGTAGGGCAGCCTTGTGTTGAGGTGGTACCTAGGCGGGGAATTATTTATTTAAGATTATTTCAGAACGGGCGGCCATCGGGCTGATTTATGCCACAGTTGCCTCTCCCCAACGATATCTTATTTTGTTCGGATGAATGTTTTATTTCGCTTTCTTTTCAATTATTCCGCTTACACCTGCGGCCTGGATTGTTTTATTCATTTTATTTTTTCTCCGATTCATCTTGGCAAATAAGAATATTTAAATAATAAAAACTGCTTCATTTTTTATAAATGACTGTTATAGCTCATCAGGTAAATACTGAGCTAGTGCGCTTATTTGCCATATACCAAGCAAAGTTATTTGCAAGCAAACCAGCTTAGTATTTACTGTTTCCTTCAAGACACCCACGTGTAATCTTTTAGAATGTTAACTTTTTGAAGTAATTATTTACCTGCAGTGAAGATTTCTTGGATAAACACCTGGATATGCAGCGGATTGCACGTAGCACGTTTGAAGTCGACAATCACGAAACACACGTTCGCAGTAAGATCTGCGAATGAAATAGTGTTATACTAACATTCCTATACTGCCGTGTATTAAAGGTCGTATATTTAATTTAGCAACATTAAACATTGCAAATATTTTATAATACAATGTCTTAACAGTTGTTAAAAAGGGAAAAATCCAAATGTTCTATTAATATTTTAGAAAATAAAAAGTTATTAGACTCTTCTATGAATCGTACCTATTTTAAATATAATACGACCTTTTTGCCTTCCATAAGCAACAGTCATAATTAAAGAAGATCGTCCGATGTCTAGTTTTTTTTTTTTAAATTATAAAAGTAAAAAAAAGTATTTAAGTATAATTAGCAGAAACCAGATGCGATGTGGTGTTTTTTTCTAAAAGGGGTGTAAGTACCTATATTATTTCGCACATACACACGACAGGATGATACCATGGGCTTCTGTTTCATTCAGTTAGGACATTTTGTCAGGCTTCGACCACGATTCATTCATGTTGAATGAGATGGCTGTTTTGCGAATTTTATAGCGTGTAATTGTCACTATATTACAGTCACTTACTTTGCCCGATGTCTATGTTAGATAGGTAGACGAAGGTCACGCCGGGAATAATAAAAAAAATTGACAAGTAGATAAAATTAACGCATTTGGTGAAAATATAGTCCACTCTACTACACATCGCAAACATACTTGAATTTAAACTTTCTGTGCAAACTATAACGGCCCGTGTACGCCTCACCTTAAAATATTCTCCTTAAATATATGTATGCATTAAAGATATGGAGGTATCAATTCGAGCCTAAGTGCGAACACCCGCCCACGCTAGCCGTTTCGGCCACTTGATTATCCGACATAAATCACGCGACTGCAATAATAGGTATCCAAAGCGGCTTTTCAGCGATCCGACACGATTTATTCACCATTTCGGTCACGTTTCAACCGAAGTGCTGGCCATTTGAAGACAGAAAATGATTCCGACGCTCTCTGCGACATTTTCGGGGGAGCCCTTTAAGTAATTGGCAACTTCGAAACTGATTTATTCGGAGCGCGGGCCGTTGAGATGATTTGTTGGATTACGAAGTCGTTTCGGACGATTGATTGGGGATGGCGGCCGGCTCCTTATAATGAACTAAGCGAAATCCCCAATGAATATTTACTGCGACGGTGACGGATTGTTACAACGGAAACAAAATGTACAATACAAACTCTTCAAAGATTATTTGAAAATAATTTATCGGTAATCTGCTGAGATGATAGCTGATTAATAAATTGTAGTCGTTGTTCCAAAAACATAACATACCACTAAAGTATGTTCTCTAACAGAAGAAAACAAAAAGTTAATTATGAGATTAGATTTTCAGTTTCTACGACCCTAAAACATTACTTTTACAACTATAGTTCAACGCTCTATATACAGTCGATTACGATTTCAACTTATTACAATGATCAAAATCTTGTTCGTAATATGATAAATATCTTCACTATCAATACATGAATCTTATTTTCAATTTGCTTACATTTAATGGCACATCTTAACTTTTATACCAATCTCATTTCTTTTTTATTTGCGTAGAAATCACTTAACAATCCTTTCATTCTTTTCTTTAGAATTGTACTGAAAAAATCCAGAGTATTTCATCGGATGTGGATATTAATACCCTTGCAAAAACTTTGTGTAAAACATATACCTATCAAATTCTACAAAACATTATAATGTATTCTTACAATGTAAGTAATTAAATACTCGTGTCATGAGTATAATTTTGTCCGAATATTCTTCCAGAGTGTAACGAGATTAGTAAAAGGTATTTTATTTTTATAATTTTTTTTAAAATTGCCCTTACTTTAGGACAACATAAGCCTTATTGTAAGGACTTTTTAAAAACATAAATTAACTTAGACAAACGCCCAGAAGCGAAAAAATTATCTGCAGGTCAAACAAATAGTTGTCCCGTGTGGGGATCGAGCCCACGACCCCCGACGCCGAAGCCTACGAATACCTTGGCAAGTGTGCCACGGAGTCGTCAAGTATGAAAAAGAAATAGAAACTTATTGCATACAACAAATGCTAGTGTTATATTACACCACAATATTTTCCTTTGTCCTTATATGGTCAGAAATTGTAACTTCAATTTGCAATAAACCGTTTCATCGGGGCCGGTATCAGCGTACGCCTAGCTTGTTCAAGTACAACGAAATTAGACGCCCGGTCACAGAGCTGCCGCAGCCTTTTAATTAAACAAATACTCGGGGTTTATTAAAGCGCCGTGAGTATTTCCACTCGAAGCTTCCTCGATTTACCCCTCCTTTATAATCTAATGCGGTCTACGTGACAATAGCAGTCCCTTTAAATAAAAAAAACTGTGAAAATTAAAGTCGAACGTAAGTTTATAATTAATCCACAACTCCAATACTCTCTCTTTCTCATTTGATTGTAAAGGTTTACGTGGTCGTAGTTGACGTTTAACTATAAAACAACAAGTTTAGCCTTCTTATTGTCGACATATAGACTACGTACGTCTTAAAAAGCGACGAAAAGGCGATTTCGGGTTCACGGTTGATCCGGGTGGGCTTCGATTACCAAATGAAGTGTATTAAGGTTAGCATTTAAAAGACGCCGATGGCATCAACTTCGCCTTTGTAAATAGTTGTAGTGCGTTAAGATTAGTTGAATAAATTATGAAAAATATGTAGTATACACTAAACACACTGCATATTAATATACATATATAGCATACCATACAAAAGTAACCTAACTCACAATTATATTTACAATCTAAAAGTACATAATAGCAAATACGAACACAGTTTGCAAATTAATTATACACCTCTCCTATTAATTGATTATGTGTTTTGAACATCGCTAATCTATTTACTGCCTTTGTTATTGTTATTATGTCTGCATGATTTAAGGGCACCGGTTTAATTAATCCACAACGTTCACCGTTACCAATCATTATTTCACGTGTGCTCCAATGACTCGGGGAATTCCCATCAAATTGCAAAATGAACATCAAAGGCAGATTTTGAGGTGAACGTGATGAAAATTTTGGATTAAATCGCACGGAAAGCTATTTGGTTCTGTCTGATTAGAATTTTCGGGGTCGCTCCGGACGTTGAATTCGAGTAGTAATGGGATTGTGTTTTTCATTTACAATTAAACGTCTAAACGTAAAGAGAAATTTTTACTGTATATCAAATGAGCTAATTGCAAACATTAATACAGAATTGCATGAATTCATTAGCGCTTAATTTTATTTTAAATCCGTTTTTATTGCAGCTTTCATTTGGTGTATCGTCCGGTAGCTCCGCATGACCCGTATAGCCAACAAAAACAGCCTCTGCGGTTTGCACAGAAGCGCAAATGGTCCGGCGTTTCAAGGGTTCAGCCCAATCGGGAGCGACGTACAAGGCCAAGGAAGTAGAAACAGAGTCTGTAACAAGTACTGCAACCTCGTTTTTCTGTGTCAAAATATAATCAAATATTACATACATGTCGTATGTGTTGTATTTGTATGCGCATTTCAAATGTAATCACAATAAAATCTATGTTCATCTGTGAGTTATAGAGGTTATAATAAGGTGACCGTGAACCTAAATATTCGGCATTCTCAAATACATAATTACTAATGTTAATCTTTGAAGATAACATTAGGAATAAAAAAAAATATTATAAACAGAAAGTGTATTTTAAAGATTTAATGTGTAAATTTTCGATTTCCGAATAAAATTTCGAGTTATGCTCTCTCTAGCTAAAGATATTTCACCGCCCAACGTGAAAGCATTTCCTATACTATCTGTCCCATTGGATTTAAAGGAGGCCACTGGGGTAAGCGACGATAATTTATTTCGACGAATAGCAGAGTAAACTCTACAAATATCATTCTATAAGCCTTGATTTGGGTTTCCAGACATTCTTATTATAATAAATAACACACACAGGTAAATACAAGTTAATTTATCTACAACAGCAACTAAGATGAAATAAGAATCAACTTAAAAGAGAAAATTGATGGTAAATAGAGGAAAATCACCAAATATACAATCATACATCCATTAAGTCACTTCCCCATAGACGGATTCTCACCTTTATTTGGTAATAATTAATCAGTAGAGTTCCTGTTATATTTGGATACCTCTTTTCTGCAATGCCTCCATTGCCGAAAATTTTACAGTTTCAAGTATTCGTGGAACTCTGTTTGAATGAAGTCTGTTAAAAATAACTCAATAAAATACGTGTTATGATTTGTTTCCTAAACTTCCGACTCTTCGAGCACTCTACAGCGTTCATGGTCACTCAGTCTGTACTGATTGTCATTCCCGATCTACGTTCAAAAAATTTATAAATTGCAAAAATTGCTTATAATTTTTTTAGGTATTGCGTTGGTGTCGTAGGAATGAATTTCATAAATTACAAATTCATCGATATAAACATGCTTGTTAAAAGAAAAATTCTGCATGTCTTTGTTATTAGGAAGCTCAAGGAAAACAAAATGCCAATAGAATTAAAGCCCAAAAATGCCTCGCCTTTTGCTTCCTATTGTGGATGAAAGAAAACTATATTCATATGTGATGGTGTTGCTACGGGCTACCCAGAAAATTCCATCGTAACTGACACATTGTAGAAGGGAAGGGAAGACCTTTCCACCTTCAATTTCAGTACAGCTCCTATCTAAGCAAGATTTTAGATGATATTTCCACAATTTTATGCATTAATATTTAAAATAATAAATATTTCGGGACATATTATTACATAACGTTATCTAATCCCTAGGGTACTAGGTAACTGATAAACATACTTAAACATAATTTTCTTTTGTAAATAAATACATTTTATATATATAAATTATAATTATATACACTAGAAAAACAATATAATAATCAATCACATAATATTTTTACAGTAGTGGGGATTATCCACTGCATTAAAAAAATCAAACGAAAAATTAAACTAAATGAAAATTTTTCGATTTTTTTATTTTTTTCTATTTATGTTAAGTGAGGTTATAAGTCGCCGCTGCCCATGGACTGCAATTCCTGAGGAGTTGCAGATAATTTGCCTATCATTTCAAAGAGGACCCAGTTGACTCACTTCTCAGACGAATTACGAAACTGTAATACTTTCAAACGTTGGTCTCCTGTGAGGCCGTGCTGCTGCGTAGCCCTCAGAATTTCGACAAAAATAATAAAATAATTGCCACTCTTAGTAACTGTCACATAAGAAGGTAAGTCTGTCTCGCATCAATTAACACCGTAGTACAAATTTACTTCACCGTAGCCATTCCTGTGACACTATGAAAGGACCCAAAAATTTTAGCAGTAGTGTTTGAGGATGTCATAATCAACGTACCCAGCTACGACTTCCCCTCTTCTATTCGGATACAGTTCAGGATGTTGGCCGTATCTGAGGTAAACTTCAAACTGTTGTTCCGCTCTGGGTAGAAAAAAATAATAAATTTAGGATACCAAATTATTTAAGGATCTGTGAGAAATTTAATAACAAAAATAATAACCGTATCATTAATCTGACCGAATACACAATGAATGTTACAAACCTCGAATCGAAGCTGAAGTACGTTTGGTCCGTGAAATTGTCGGCGTGGAAAACGATTTTGACGAAATTAGTTTCCGATATGAAAGTCTGCGGCTGCTCGATCTCGCCACAAAACAATCCGGGCTCCTTTCGGTTCGAAACGTCCGTTTTGGCGTTGCCGTCGACGATCTGAAAAGTGCGAACGTTTTTCAACCCTGTTGCTGAATGAATTAAAATGATATTGCAATGCCGCGCGTATAGAGTACATGGGTGAACCTGTGGTTATAACGTCAAAAGTAATGAATTTGTCTCAAATGTCATGAGTACGGTTGCTCCATTGTGAAATATGATATTGACTCTACAAATTCTATTTATCGTCGGGTTATTGTGTAGTGAATTATTTTTCTATCATAATATTAACACGGCGTTGGAATTGTAGTAATTTATTTTTTGGATCCGTAGTTTTATTCTAAAAGTTGCATAATTTTATAAATACGACTACGAATGTATTTAAATATGGATTGATTCTTCTTCAGCCAATGACGGGTAACGTTTTTAAATAAGATTTGAAGCAAAAGTACAGTTTCCATAATGTACACTGTACTACACATAATAAAGAGATAGAATGATTAATAATAATTAGTATGAGTGTTTAGTATTTTTATGTCGAAAACATGAAATAAAAAATTGACATCTCTGTACTCAAGTGCTATAAACAATATCAATATTTGTTTAAACGAACAAAGAAATTAATTAGGAAATTAGAACATAATATAAAACACAATTTCGTCTCGGTTTCAATTCAGTCTGGCAATAGACGAACGGTTCGGTTATTATACGTCTAAATTGGTTCGAACTTCCTTGAATTTTGTTTCGGAGTTTCGTCACCCTTCGAAATTTAGAAATTAATTAGATGAATCAGAAAATTAATCACAAACGCAATATTTCCCTAACTTTCCTAGCAAATTTGTAGTAAGAAAAATGTTTAATACAATTTATTCGGAATACGTTCTGCGGACACTTTTGTTATTTTATATATAAGAATAATAAAATAAAACATATTTTTATTCATCTTTAATTGAAAATCTAAATTAAATCAGGTTACTTTTATATTATTTTACAGTTAGGCTCCTTCTTGAGAAATACCTTGGGGCATAATGATAAACGATTTATCTTATACATTAATCGGGACAAATAGTGTCAGTAATCATAATATCTTAGATATTATGATTACTGACATTAGATTAGACATAAAGAGTTCAAGTACATACAATATAACCCTGAATTATAATTACTAGTGAACTTACTAACTTAATAATTAAAGCCAGTCTCAAAGTTCAAAAGTCATAACTACAGAAGTTTGGGAGAAAAGGTCGTTGTCTGGTATATAGATTTTGTTGATTCCTTTCCAAACTATATTTTCTCATTCTATGCCTTTTTCTGTGATGTAACACTACATAGTATAAAACGAAGTCGTCCCGCTATCTGTCTGTCGCATTGTATGCTTAGATCTTTAAAGTACACAACGGATCTTGATGCGTTTTTTTTACTAGATAGAGTGATTCAAGAGGAACGTTTATATGTAGGTATAATTCATTGCATGCGCGCGAAGTCGGGGCGGGTCACTAGTGATTTATATATGTAGACGCTTTAAAGACACTTGCCTGCATGTAGCCTTTATGGCACGTGGTACCGTTGATCAATGTACCGACTTTGAATTTTTTAAACCTAATCCTAAGGATCCAATCTTTCGGCGAACCACGGAACGCTCTAAACCTGTGAAAAAAACATTGTTAGAAATTCGGACATTTGATGGACGTCGTATGGTTTAAAAACCAATAAAAGATAACAATGGTTAAGGTAGAACAATGTTAAACGACGCAGCTCAGATCTTCAAAAGTCTCCTGTGATGAAGACAGGTACTTATCCACTAAAACCTCTTCGGTGGTCACCCTCGGTACTTCGGAATTTCTTTCCCGTACACATACTGCTTTGCGGTAAAACGTTGTAAATAGGTATTGCTGTAAATAGGTATTGCCAATGTCCGTGAACCCATTATTAACCGTGTTCCATGAGCATGAGACTACTGGTCTCCCCTGGATGAAAGAGCTACATTAACTTTTTATAGAAAAGTACATTTAAGCGTGTTCAACGAGCGTTTGTAATCACTATATGTTCGCTATCCGCTTATAGTTAAAATATCTGTTATATAAAATTCTTGTGTCACAGTTTTAGTGCGTTTCTTCTCCGCCGTTTGGCTTAAACGATTCTGATGAAATTTATATGTATATTCAGTTGGTATGAGAATAGATTTATAACTATTTAATATAAATATATTATAATAAAAATATATTGAGGAGGATTTCGGTTAAAGGTATCCCGTAAGCTATAAACGAAATAATTGATTTGCAAAAATCGGAAGTTCTAGCTGTTTCCGGGCAGAGAACAATTAGTAGCAGTCTCTTTACACTCTGGGTCAAAAGTGTGAATTGTTAACGTTAAACTGACTTTTGCAGTTAACAGCAAGTCAAAAAGATGTTATTAGCTAAAAGTTTTATCTAAGCCTTTATATATATCGTAGTTGTACTGCTACTATAATATTTAAGACAATCATCCTCCAAATACCTGTGAACATTCACAACTTCGTTCATTATGGTAATTAAAAATAAGAAATTTCGTTGCATCGCTAAAAGTCATAAAAAGAAAAGGATCTTTGTTTTCTTTTTTCTGATGAAAGGGATTTGTGTCCGTCAAAAGGTATTAAAATAGAGACTCAACGCAAATTGCCCTTTTTAAGCATACTGAAATAAATATATAGGTGTTATAAGCACTTTTTTATGTTAGCAAGCTGGCGGTTCACCTGATGTTACGTGATAACCGCCACCCATGGACATTTGCAACACCCGTAGGGTTGCCACCTTTGAATAAAGTGGACCCCGGCTACCTCGCTCACCAAACGAAACGCAGAAGTTTAACAACTCTATCTTCTGTGATATCGTGGTTAGTACCACGGGTACCAGTAGTACGGGTTAGTACCCGGACGGACCTGCTCATTCGTGCAATACCGAATACTGTTCTGTAGCCACACCACACTAGCATTTTCAAATAGTTATTATTTACCTATAAGTGCAAGTAAGGGGCCTCCCAAAGTTTTCTGCAGTCACGGGCGGCGAGGACACATCTTCGTAGATCTCTACGGTTTTGTTGCAATGGTCTCGCTTTGAATCTGTGGGTGAAGAAAAAAACCATGATCATTTTAAGTTTTTTATCTGTAGTATTAACGTTTCAAATGTTCATTTATTATCTGTAGTCTTTTAAGTTACGGGATTGGATCGCAAATACTGTATATTTATAATTTTTCTGTTTGGCGCAATCTCCTACGATATTCTTTGATGAAATGGACAAGACACCTTTAGACTACTTTTTGTTTCTTCATCCGCCTTTGAGAATGTATTAGCTCGGCAAAAGTTGGAGATAACCTAAAAACCATAGCTAAATTTTTCCATTGCATTGGAACGACCGAAGCCTATCTTTATTATAGCAAATCGATTTGCTTAAGGGTATTTAGTATATTTTTCAGTACAGTACATATATGATGACGAGTTATTTCGTTATCAAACACTCATACGTGGGACCTAATTTACACTACATACATTTACATTTTATTTCATTTAACTTGACGTTACCAACTATAATATTTAATAAAAAAACGACTTCAAACCGGGAATAAAACCATTGTTAATACATATAACATTTGAGGATTGCTCTCGATTTCTCTGGGATGCCATCATCAGATCCGGGATTCCTTATCATGAATCATCAATATCGGTTGATAAACGACGAAGTACGAAAACACATAAAAAAAATATGTAGCGTCAAATTGAGAAATCTCCTTCTTTTTGGAATTCGGTTAAAAACACACACTTTAGTCATTGAAGAAGAACTATGTTTTAAGTATAAATGAATTTAATTAAACAGACAGTACCATCCTCATGGCATAATTTTTGAAGTTGTGTACTTGTAGTTTGGCCAAATAAAAACGACAGTAAAACATTAACACATTACATTAAAGTAATAAGTTATTTTTGTTTTTTTATGTAGTAGAAGTACTACTTACTATTTTTGAGAAAAGATGTATAAAATTTACCAGTTTTATAAATTTGTACATTCCAAATAAAATACAGAAAAGTATTAAGCTTTCATCCAATTTTCCTGTGGGGAAATTTCACACACTGAGATTACATTAATGTAGGTTATACGTTCCGTTTAAAGCCATAGGAAAGTAGACCCTGGTAACGGACTGTTAAAACAAGTTTTCGTGTACTTAGGGTGGTTTAATCAGCTGATTGCGAGAGGAAACTGTAAAGAAGGCAATACGAGCTGTTCAATAAAACAAAGATGTAATAAAGATAATATAATGTGAAAAAACATGACGACGTTAAAATTTATAGAAAAGAACATGTTAAGAGAAGCAGGGTGACCCGAATTCTGTATTAAGGTGCCTTGAATACCATCGATTTAAAGATGAGACAGTCTGATAATCATGACATTTAATCTTTATAATTGTACTTGTGGTATTATTGATAAAAATATGTAGCACTAATTTAAAATTAAAATTATTTTTTTGACAAATACATTATTGTTGGCACTGACAATGTTTGAGTTTTTCGTATTTAATTGTTTTTCGTTTTTTTTTACGTAAAATCCAAAAAATATTTCATGTATGTTGTCATTAGATGGAGATGTCTGTGTCACATATCTTTAAAATTTTGTGAATAAATCTCCTTCCGAAAAATTGATTGCCACTTAGAAATAGTTTGGGGAAAAATATATTACAAGTTCTGATTATAGTTTTATATAGCTACGCCTGCTGCTACCAATGATTCTTCCGCATTGCCTTACTCTATTAATTAACTTTAAATGTTACGGTAATTTACAAACCCAATTTGACAGTAGGTCTAATCAATTGGATTATAATAGTTACTCAGTGGTGACCAGCTTTTACGAATAACACTTACCGTTCGATTTACCGCCTCCAAAATCTTTTCATACTCCTCGGTTTCGGTTAGACGCGATCGAATGAAACATATTGCAGCGGGTTCCCTCCCCCAGACGGTACGGGAACTACATAGCTAACAAGTTAACCCCAACAGCTGCACGAATGTGCCATAGCACGCGATTTTACTTCGCAAAACAGTTTATGTTGCGCACTCTCCGATGAACTGTGTATTCTTAATCACTCGACCGTTTTTAATACGTTTATGGCTAAGCGAGTCTCGACAATTAGGTAATATTTTTATTACGAAAGAAATATTAAGTACTTTCAATCTGTTAACGTAGGTAGAGCTTCAAAGTGTTGTCAAAATTTGCACAACTTTTTTAAATTACTAAATATGAACAAGTTCTCAGTATAAGTTGTCGTGCATGGGGCGTTATTGGCTTCGGTGTCGAGGGTCGTGGGTTCGATTCCCACACGGGACAAGTATTTGTGTGACAGATAATTGTTCTGGTTCTTTGTGTTTGTTTTCCCCAGAGGGTTGGCGTTGAGCAGGCGACCAACCGAGTCCACCTCAACTTAGTCCCAACTAGATGAGATAAGGAGGATGATGATGAATAGGTTCTCAGTAAGGATTGTGCATGTGGATTAATTGTCATTTTGAGAATGTCGTAATAAGAAACAAATAAATATTTATGGCAGCGCCTGTAGATAGAACTCAGATCACGTATCGACTTTCCTTATGAAATAATATGCGCATAGGTATACTGAATGATATTTTACAATGAAAGTAAAATTTTATTTATTATAACGGATAGCTTCTTGTACGAGCTCATTTCTCATTTTAATTACAAACTCTTTGATATTTTCTTTGCTCCGATGACAGCAGCACAATGACTAAAAGAAGTTGATTTCGACGGGGAGCTACAAACGATTTTTTTCATTAAGCCTCCAATCGTAACTCCTTTGACCGAAAGATTGACTAAGAGGCGGCAATTCTTATGAAACAAAAGCTGGGGTTTTCCTATTTCTATTAACAAAGATAGGGGATAAATCTTGAAAAGAATCAGTTTATGTAATGGCGGTACGAAACGAAATACCTCTTACTTATATATCTGTAACATATTATTCTTATTTTTGTTACATAGTATGTGTTCGTAAAAGTATGTTATTGAAAAAATTTAGGACGTATACTGATAAAATAAATGTTTTTTTTATGTGAAAAAGTGGCAAACACTTCTACTTTACGCCGGTCTTATGGGAGGTCGTGGTACTAACCCAGACGGACCTGCTCTATCGTGCCACAGCGAGTACTATTGCGTGGTCCTACCACAGTCAAATGTTACATTTCAAAACAAACATTTTTTCAATAATACCTAATATTAAAGGCAACTATTTGTTTACTATGAAAGTTAAATCCAAAGCGCACATCTTCTAACGTCATTACTTCTACATTGTCCTATATTAATGCAATTTCTCGTCTACTACTTTGCAGTTTGAGTTTATACCTAATATTATACATACAAATTTATTTCGCAACAATTAACAATAACAATTTTATTCTACCATTATATGTTATAAATCTTCCCCGGCTTTGCTTACAAATCTAAGTCGTTAAGTTTACCATATCATAATTTCCATGATGACATGATGACAATGGTCTCAAGGTAATCATCTAATACGTCAGCTTTTCAAACATAGATGTATATTTGATGTATCTTAAACTCCAATACAGGTAAACAAATGTTTAAATCCTCCTTTTTCATATCACAAGCTTAGGTACGAAATCGGCACGCTACTCGATAAACGCCTTTTCCTAGTTCGCGAAAACTGACAAGATTTATGGTCTCGTTACAAAAGCTATGCGAAGACTCTTCGTAACCAAAGACTCGTTTTCTAACACTGCGCTTTTTACGTTTGCAATTATCAATGCGAATAACTACTATACCAATTCTAACAAGATAAAATGAACGAATAGCGAAAATGTTAGTTAACGTTTCATTGTTTTCTTTTGATTTAGTATTATTCTGAACGTATTAGTTCATTGACCATTTTTAGACTCCTATGTTTTAAGGAATGTGTTCAAGTATCAATAGATAAAGCATATTATAATATATTCTGATCTTTACAAACTCAGTCATCAACATATATTTAAATATACAATATCTGGATACATTTTACACAACGCTATCTAGTATCGAACTAAGCAAAGGAGGTAACTGATAAATATATACATACATACTTTTATTTTATATAATTAAATACATATTATGCATTGCATACATATAATAACCGTATACGATAAGTTCAAATAGTATATTTATTTAGTATTCAATTAATTAATTAAGTGTGCAAGTTATTGTTTCTCACAACTTAATGCAAACATTGTTAAGATTTTCTTATTTTTCACGGAAATCGGTGAACAATTGTAACGCTATTACTCCGTTTGAAATATATAATTAATCATTAATTTTCATTAAGCACGCCAGAAGGCCGTGGGGCGTGGTAAACTTTAATGGACAGTGTTTAGAATTAGAAATTTCAGAGCAGAGTTTTAATACTTTGTACCGAATAAGCGTAGGGCGGAATAACAGACGCTGTTCATTAATTTCAGTACATATTTAATTTCTATATAATATGAAATGGAAGTAAAGGCTCTCATATTTTAATGAAACACCTACTATGATAGCTATATAATTATTACATAAAATAGGCACCAAATGGAGAAATATTTACGTTTTCAATAATATTTTTTCTTTTTCGATTGCGATAACGTATGTGTATATTATATAATTATATTAAAGTTAATTTTGTATAGCATATTAAAGTTATTTTTTCGTCTTTATATTAAGGGAATTACATTATACAATGTATCGTTGTTGAAAATCCTTGTTAAGATTTTATCACAGTATGTCAATTAAAGATCTTTGTTAAAATAATTAAAATTTTGTAGAAAACTCCAGGATACGACCGACGCTCCATTCAAGGATCTAAACGGTTTATCTTTACATCGACGAAAATCTCAGCGTACTTTAATCTGCTCTGGTTTTTTTCTTACCTATATAAGCAATGTTTTACGTTATCTAGCGTGTTTCGTTTACCGTGACATCCATGCAAATGACCACTTTTCCAAAAAACGTTTAACAATGAAATATTATTAAAAACGTAACCGACATGGCTCGAAGGCCGAAGGTTTAGTAAGTGACGACCTGTGCAAGTGTGCGGGAAGTCGATGGATGCAGGTGGCTTAGGATCGAATTCGTGGCACTCTGTGGGGGAGGCCTATGTTCAGCAGTGGACTCAAACAAGCTGAAATGATGATGATGATGAATGAAATATTCGAATCCTAGAGATATCACTTTTGTTAATAAAAAATATTTAATTTTGGTATTAAAAAGAATATCGCTATTTATATCCATTAAATATCTTAGTATAATATTTCTCTTAATAAGAAGGCATACCATGTGTTCTGAATCATCTGTTGTATAGTGTACTCAGTATTAAAACAAACGAAGCTATTAGCTAACTCCATAGTAACGAGTAAAATCTAATTTCTGATAATATCTAACATAAAAAAAATAAAAACTATTTTGATTACATGACGGGAAAAATATTGTTATCGAAGGCGAAATTGTTCTCCCTTATTTTTAACTGAATACCATTAAGCACTTTAAGATATTGGTCAATTTCCATAAACAACCAATAAACGTGATTCATTTCTGTTCTGGCCACTAGAAATGCTGATTCACGTGTCTTAAAAATTATATTGGGTAGGTACTCGATTCTATTTTCTTGAGTGTATTGCTAGCACAAATAA